TGCTCCCCTTGGCCCAACCCTGACTTTCAGCAAAGGCAAATTCTAGGGTGCACTGTTAGACCCAGGGCCTTCAAGATGGGAGTACAGATCTGGGGGCAGTGGGGGAATCTTGTCTGGAACGCACCCAGAGGTCTCGGGGCAAGGGTGGGGGGCATCTCACCCTGGCTCACAAAAGCCAGCCAAGAGGCTCTCACTTCAAGAGTGGGTGGGCAGGTCGGTGGAGATGGGCTCCGGGCTGCCTCCACCTGCCCACCTGTCACCTGCCCTGCAGGCCGCCTGGCCATCCGGTACAGAATGCATTGCCAAGTACAACTTCCACGGCACTGCCGAGCAGGACCTTCCCTTCTGCAAAGGAGATGTGCTCACCATTGTGGCGGTCACCAAGGTAATCGGGGACCTCACATGGCCACACCTACCCCCTCCCACCTCTGGGCTTTCCTGCTGGGTCCGGGCTCCCCTGCAGGCAACGGTGGGCCTGAAGGTGTGTCTGGGCTGTCCTCTCCCCAGGACCCAAACTGGTACAAAGCCAAGAACAAGGTGGGCCGTGAGGGCATCATCCCAGCCAACTATGTCCAGAAGCGGGAGGGCGTGAAGGCCGGCACCAAGCTCAGCCTCATGCCGTGAGTACTCCTGAGGAGCAGTCGGGGTCTCTAGTGCGGGGAGGAAGGAGGACAGGAAGCCCTGGTTCCCCTTAGAGGAGTCAGGAAAACAGAGGCAAGAGTAGTGGTTGGAATGTGTGAAGACTCTTCGAGGTGAGGGGAAGGGCATGGGTGCTAGACCTCAAAGGTGGGGGGTGGGCCTGGGAGGACCAAAGGAAGAAGGGTGGCAAGCAGAAGATGAGGGCCTCCGATGGCTGGCTGAGCCGTTGGGGGCCGTGGCGAGGTGCCAGCCAGAAAGTGGAGCCTGGCAGACATGTGGGGGTCAGTACCCTCCAGCCGCCATGAGCCCTGGCCTGGCCTCCCCCCAGCTGGTTCCATGGCAAGATCACACGGGAGCAGGCGGAGCGGCTTCTGTGCCCACCAGAGACAGGCCTGTTCCTGGTGCGGGAGAGCACCAACTACCCCGGGGACTACACGCTGTGTGTGAGCTGTGATGGCAAGGTCGAGCACTACCGCATCATGTACCACGCCAGCAAGCTCAGCATCGACGAGGAGGTGTACTTCGAGAACCTCATGCAGCTGGTAGAGGTGAGCCAGGCCTGCCTTCCGGCACAGTCCCACCTCTCCTGGCCTCTGGGAGCCTGCGTGTCCACCCCCCCGCCTTGACGAAGCGCCTGCTCTGTGCCAGGGTTGACCTCTGACCCCCACAGTGCCGCCACAGGGAGAGCGGCCCTGTCCCCATTTCACAGGCCAGGAGACAGGTTCAGAGCGGTTAAGGGACCTGCCTCAGATCACACAGCCGTACATTAGAGGTGCCAGGACTAGAAGCTGGGTCTGGCTCATCCCAGAACTAGGCTTCCCTCCAGGCCCTCAGAACTTCACGCTCACGTGTGTGTATGTAAGCATGTCTTCATGAGCTGTACCCTGACGGCTGGGGTCCCCCCGGGCTCCTGCACCTGCATGGATATGGCCACGTGGCCTTGCAACTCCTGAAGCCAGTTCCGCCAGCCACACCTGGCTTCCTGGAGCCCCAGCGGCAGATGCCTCCTGTGGCTGGGGAGGGTCCTGGGCACATCTGGCCGGAGCCTGGTTTCTGGACTGAGCCAGGGCTTGCCTCCGCCTCGGGATGCTGGTGAGGCCCGTGGCCCGGCGTGGTAGCAACAGCCCGGTATCTGTCCAGCACTTGGATGTGACTGGGAAGTGGGTCACAGATCTGAGTCTGGGGCCTCCCTAATCCTTCCCCGGTGGGAAATGAGAAGCCCTCCCAACCCAAAGCAAGTCCCGGCTGGGTGGGCTCGGCCTCCGCCGCCCTCTGGCGGTTAGAGCCGGAAGTGCATGTGAGCGGCTGGGGGCGCTCGGTGGGCCGGCCCTGAGCGCCTGCCCGGTCCTCCGCAGCACTACACCTCCGACGCAGACGGGCTCTGTACGCGGCTCATCAAGCCGAAGGTCATGGAGGGCACAGTGGCAGCCCAGGATGAGTTCTTCCGCAGTGAGTGCCATCCCCGCTCCCTGTCCTTACCTGCCTACCCGCCTCCTCCCACCCAGGCTCCCTGGCACTGCCCCCATCCCGGAGGCTCTGGGGACCTCCAGGGAACGCCACACACGGGGTCCAGGCTGTGTGTGCTGCGCGCCCGCTCTGGCTTCACCCCTCACTGACACCCCCTCCCCCGCCAGGCGGCTGGGCACTGAACATGAAGGACCTGAAGCTGCTGCAGACCATTGGGAAGGGGGAGTTTGGAGGTGAGCGGGAGGGGGTGGCAGCCCTGGGAGGGCCAAGGGCCTGCAGAGGGTCCAGGGAACAACCTCCAGCCCTCTTCCCCCAGACGTGATGCTCGGTGATTACCGAGGGAACAAAGTCGCCGTCAAGTGCATTAAAAATGACGCCACTGCCCAGGCCTTCCTGGCTGAAGCCTCTGTCATGACGTGAGTTGGGGGCCGAGGCTGGGTGCGGAGGTCACCCCGGGACAGGGAGGAGATGGGGAGGCTTGGCAGGCTCTGATCACCCCCCTCCTGCCCCAGGCAACTTCGGCATAGCAACCTGGTACAGCTTCTGGGCGTGATCGTGGAAGAGAAAGGCGGGCTCTACATCGTCACTGAGTACATGGCCAAGGTGTGCACCTGCCCTGAGGGCCCGCCCCCGTCCTGGCGCCGAGCACTCGGGCTTTCCAGATGTCCCAAGCCCCTCACTGCTCCCTCGGGCCCCTGTCTCTGAACTCTGAAGTCACCAGGCAGGGCTCAGCTTTTGTCCTGACTCGTCATTTGTTCCCTGTGACAAGTTGTGTACCTTGCCAAGCCTCGATTTCCACATCTGTGAAATGGAGATAGTATCAGAGTTTACCTTAGAGATTTATGAGATTTAAGGGCGAATGCATGAAAACTGCTGAGCGCAGTGGCCAGCTCGTAGAACCTACTACTCATTCAGCAGTGATGTCGGGCCCTTCCTCCGTTCCTCCCCTCTCCTCATATCTCCCTCAAGTGTTCACCCAGCCCCAGTCCGGGATTCCAGAGGGCTGGAGGGCAAGTCTGACCTGTGGGGCCGGTTGGTCTGTCTGTCCTGCCCCAGGGGAGCCTGGTGGACTATCTGCGGTCGAGGGGTCGGTCGGTGCTGGGCGGAGACTGTCTCCTCAAGTTTTCACTGTGAGTGAAGCATCACCCACTGGGGGGGGACCCTGCCCGGCTGCGGGAGCCCCGTCTGAGGAGACGCATGGCTGGCTCTCTCCCAGAGATGTCTGCGAGGCCATGGAATACCTGGAGGGCAACAACTTCGTGCACCGGGATCTGGCTGCCCGCAACGTGCTGGTGTCCGAGGACAACGTGGCCAAAGTCAGCGACTTCGGCCTCACCAAGGAGGCCTCCAGCACCCAGGACACGGGCAAGCTGCCAGTCAAGTGGACAGCCCCGGAGGCCCTGAGAGAGAAGGTGGGACGGGCCTCTCCCCAGAGCCTGAGGAGTGGGGGATGGGGGTTCTGGGTTCCCCACCCCCCACCCCCGCCAAATCCCCAGCTCCCAGGACCTGACACTGTTTCCCCCACCCACATGGCAGAAATTCTCCACCAAGTCTGATGTGTGGAGTTTCGGAATCCTCCTCTGGGAAATCTACTCTTTTGGGCGAGTGCCTTATCCAAGAATTGTGAGTCGGGTGCTGGGGCCGGGGCATGGCTGGGGCTGATGGTGAGGCTTTTGGAGCAAGGGAGGGCTGGGCAGGAGAGGGAGCCATTCTGGGCCCTGCCTTCCGTTCTGAGCCGCAGAGCCGCCCTCGGGACTTTCCAGGTGCCTCCTGGGCCTGTCTCTGAAGCCCGGGTCTGAAGGGGATCCCTGAAACTGAGTCGGGGCCCCCGGGGGGGGGGTCAGGCCCTGCACGGACTGACCCCACCCACCTGCCCACAGCCCCTGAAGGACGTCGTCCCTCGGGTGGAGAAGGGCTACAAGATGGACGCCCCCGACGGCTGCCCGCCTGCGGTCTACGAGGTCATGAAGAACTGCTGGCACCTGGATGCCGCCGCGCGGCCCTCCTTCCTGCAGCTCCGGGAGCAGCTCGAGCACATCAAAACCCACGAGCTGCACCTGTGACCGCCGGGCCCCCCAGCGCCCCGCCCCACCCAGGTCGTGGGCCTGCGGGGACTGAACCTGGAGAGATTGTGGACCTGGTGCCCCCACTTGCTGGGCCCAAGCCTGAACTGAGCCCAGCGGGCCCGTGGGCCTCTTTCGTCTGCCCCAGCCTGCGCCCCCTCTGGCCCCCCAGAGATCCTGCCTAGGCCTGGCACCTTTTCTCATGGACCCACCCGTGGGGCTTCGGGAGCCCCACCGAAGGGCCAGGAAGGGAGGAGGCTGGGGAGCATGAGGCAGATGTCCCCTACCGTGGTCAGGCTTCTCCTGGCCTCCCATCTCTCGCCTTCTTAGAGTTTTATTCCTTTCCTTTTTTGAGATTTTTTCCCGTGTGTTTATTTTTTATTATTTTTCAAGATAAGGAGAAAGAAAGTACCCAGCAAATGGGCATTTTACAAGAAGTACGAATCTTATTTTTCCTGTCCTGCCCACCGGGGTTGGGGAGACCAGGCCCCTCTCTAGGGACCCATCACCCCAGCCTTGTGCCCGTGTTCCGTGTCCCGTGTCGCCTCGGTCGCCCCGTGTTTGCGCTTGACCATGTTGCACTGTTTGCATGCGCCCGAGGCAGACGTCTGTCAGGGGCTTGGAGTCCATTCGTGTGCCACTGCCACCCGCCCACCTGCCTTGTGAGATGGAATCGTAATAAACCACATGAGGACACCGCTGCCCAGCCTCGGCGCTTCCTCCGCCCAGCCTGCCTGTCCCGCCCGGCCCCCTGTTCTGTGCTATCTTGTCCATCGCCCTGTCTCTGTGAGTGGGGCTGTGCTTGCCCTGGGAGCACGGCTGGGAGATGTAGCCGCCGCTTTGTGTCGCTGCACGAGCGAGTGTCCTGTGTCTGCCGTGGGGGCCCTCCCCCCGCCCCCACCGTCCTGCTGTGGCCCGGGCCCAGGCGGCCGTCCGGAGCGTGGGAGGGCCCCGGCTGCCTGCCCTACCCTGGTGCTCAAGCCGACAGCACAAGGAGGGCCGGAGCCAAGGATGGGGAAGGAAGCCGGGCCTGACCAGATGGAAGCGGGGCTCCCTGGTTGGAGGCAAGATAAATGGCTCATGGCTCAGAGAAGGTGCGGACCCGGGGCGTGAGGGAAGGGGAGGCTCTGAGCTGCTGGTGGTTCTCACAGCTCACCCAAGATGGAACAGCACGGCTGCATCCCAGCGTGTGCCCAGCCCCGTGCCTGAGGACACACAGGTGGAGGGCCTTCCCCATGCCATCTTGGGGGCCACAGATGGAGAATGAGGGCCAGCCGTGGCATTTTCTCCCCTCACTCAGGTTGCCCAGGGTTGGTGGTCAGGGCAGAAGCTGCAAAGATTGGGGGAGGCTCATTTCATTCACTGAGACAGGCACCGGGGGTGGGGGTCCCCTTGTCCCGTTGCGGCTCTTACCCGGTCCCAGCCAGTAGGACCCGAAATCCAGGGAGTTCCGACTTTGCCATGTGTCTAGTGCGTGCCTTGGCCCGCTGCAGCCCAGCTGCCAGGGTCTGCTCCCTCCCCTCCCCAGCCCAGATCAGCAGTCTCCCCTGATCTATCCCCTCTGTACATCACCAGCCTCGTTTTTCCAAGACCAGACCATTCATTCAACAGCAGATATATTGAATAGCTGCTTTGTGCTAGGACTGGGGCTCAGCAATGAGCAAAACAGACCTTGTGGAGTTTCCAGGTGGGAGGACAATCACACAGACAACCACAAACTGATAAGTGCTATGGAAAAAACATGTATGCCATAGGAATCGGATCTTGTCTATAGGTCAGGGAGGGCTTCCTGTAAGAGGCAGCATGTAAGCTGAGATCAGAAGGGTGAACAGGAGGTGAGGGTGAGCAGCAGCATTCCAGGAAGAGATGCTGGGACTGGAGGGAGGGCAGTTTGTTCCGGGGTCTCTGGAAGGATGGTGAAGCTATGCAGGGAGCCTTGAGGTGGAGAGAGAAGGCTGGAGCAAGGACTGGGTTTTGTCACCCTGAGAGCCATGGGGAGCTGGTGACAGGTTCTGAGCAGGAAGGTATTTTTGAAACGATCACCCAGGCTATTGGAAAAGTTCCAGGGAGCACAGGGAGGCCTGATCAGTGTAAGAGAGGATGGTGGGAGTGGACAGCCTCCAGAGGGATGGGAGAAGCAGCTGAGTGAGCTTGCCAATGGCTTCATGATGTAGGTGAGGGGGGCGAGGAGCCAGCGCAACCCCTGAGGAGCAGAATGGCTGTGGGGAGGGGCGGGGGGGGGGACCAGGAGACTTCTGTTCAGCACACATCATGAGTTCTACTAAGGGCGTGCTGAGTCTTAGGTGCGCCATTGAACTGCCAAGAGGCGATGAGTAAGGTTGGAACCCAGAGGCTCGAGCGGGGAATCAGATCAGTGTGTGGCTCGGATTGAAAGCCATAGTCAAGGCGGAGGTCACTTTGGGAGGACGTGCAGAAGAGAAGAGGGCCCAGGACCATGCTGGGGAGAGCTCTTCATGTTCAAAGGCCAAGGACAGGAGGCTGACCAGGCAAGGTACAGAGAGGGAGGTGGCAGACTGCCCTGCGGCAGAGGCAAGAGACAAGCCAGCAGGTCCCTCCTTCCCAGAAGACCGGAGCCTGCCACTGGGGTTGGTGACTTCAGCAAAACCGGAGTTTGCGGGGATGCAGATTCCAGGCCTGGCTAGGGGGTGTGAGCTCTGCGGGAAGCCTGCCAGTCTTGGGAGATTGTAAGACCTGTGAGAAGGGGAAAGAGGACGAGTTAGGGGATTTGAAGGCGGCAGAGGCGTGAGCAAGTCTGATGCCAAAGGGAAGGACGTTTACCTGCAGGCCGAATCCACGTGCTGAGGGGGCAAAGACAGAGGTGCAGGAGTGGCAGTGATCGCAGGGGGAGCCTTCCTTAGGGCAGGAGCGGTGGCTGGACGCCCGCCGGAGCACAGGGCGTGTGCCTGCAGTGGGAGCCAGCACCCAGGGCGGAAGCCACTGGCTGCGCTCCAGTGACGGTCACGGCTAGACCCGGGGGTGCGTGGCAGGGAGCTCTGATTTAGTTTGCTGACATCTGTGGTGTACTCCCGCTGTGGCCAATGTCATGCTACCAGCCTGACTTCACTGGCGGGGCATTGTGACAATTGGCTGTGGTTCAGAACCCTGCAATGGCGCGTGGCCGTGGGATCGGGAGAGAAGGGGCGGGGCCAGCGGACAGGGACCCGCGGGCGTGCAGGCCCAGGTAGCCAGGGCTCTCCACCTGGTGGCCTGTGAGTCCTCCCCATTCCTTCCTTCCTTTCTCTCACTCGGCCTATGGCTTTTTTGTTCCCTCCTTTCTTTTCTCTCATCCTTCTGCCCTATGCTGGCCGCTGGCTTGGCATAGACAAGCAAGACAGGGTTCTTACACTCATGGAGCTCATGACTAATGGGGATCCCACTTAGGCTCAACTTGATGCCCAGAAATCTGGCGAGGAGGAGGGAGCAGGAGGCTCTCGGTGGCTTCTCAGACGCCTGGAGTTCGGGCAGGGACAGAGAATGAGGTGCTTCTGACAACAGAAGGGCACTGCCTGGGCAAAGGTGCTGGGGTGCCATAGGCTGGTACGGCTGGGCCTCAGGTGCCAGTGGGGGGCTTTCAGGAGCAAGCAAGGCTGGAGAGAAAGCAGGGCCCAGACCCCACCCGGCTCTGCAGATCCCATGAGTTTAATTTTGTACAAAGATGACCAGGAGTGATTGAAGTGTTCAGGACCAAGGAGTGATGTGGTCAGATCTGCATTTTAGAAAAATAATTCTGGCTAGAGTCTTGCCCTGGGGCTGGGAGCGTCCAGAGTGGAGAGAGGGAGACAGTGGGAAGGCTGCAGCTGGTCAGGCAGGAGGTGACTGGTGGCAGCCTGGGCTGGGGAAGCCATAGGAGGTGGAGAGGAAAGTAAATACAGTTAACATCGTACTGATCCGAGTGCTCACTATCGGCCAGGCCGTATTCTCAACACACTAGATGTCATCTCATGTACCCCTCCAAACAACTCCTGGAGATACATGCTATTATTCCCCCATTTTACAGATAAAGAGACAGGCTCGGAGATTAGAGGATCAGGTAAGGCGGTCTAAGAGTAGCAAGAGCAGATTGAAGAGCTTGTTCTGGTTTGACCAGGTACGGGGTAGGGGCTGCCACCCCTGAGACCCTAGCCTTGGACAAGGAGATCAGGAGTTTAGTATGGGTGTGTTGTCTGGGGGCCTTTGGGACATCCAAGCAGAGATGTCCCCTGCAGAGTTAGACATCATTCAGGCCTCCAGCTCCAGGAGAAGGCTGGTTGACAGCAGAGGTTTGGGGGTCATGAGCACAGCAACAGTGCTGGAGGCCGTGGGCACAGGCGAACTTGGCCAGGAAGCAGGTGGAGAGTGAGGAGAGGCGCAAGCACAAGGAGCCGCAGCGTGAGGGGCCGGGGAGGAAGGGCAGCGGCGAAGGAGCCGCTAAGGGGCCAGGCCCAGGCCGCCAGGGCCAGGGGAGCGAATGTTTCGCGGCTTTCCACGTGGCAGAGACAGGTTGAGAAGTGTCCACTAGAAGCAAAGAACAGGGTCATTGTCAGGCCTTGCTGGAGCTGTTGTCTTGGGGCAGTGAAGGCAGGAGCGAGAAGGACTGAGTGGGGGGCGAGGGAGCAGCGCCACCCCTATCCACATGCTGCCCTTCACAGCATGGCTGGGGCCGTGAAGGTGAGGGGGACAGTGGGTGGAGGTGGCCCAGGGCTTACTGTTGAGAAATGAAGGTTTCCTTTTAGTGTGTCCTAAAATTTTCCACTTATCGCCTTGATTTTAATTAATTTGTAGAGCTTCAGTAACTTAATCCTACTGGGAACTTACAAAGTACAGTGAAACTTCAGCTAGCCAGATTTCTTGGCAAATGAGCCAGCCGCTCAGGAAAATGAACATTTATTTGAGTGAAAATATTTGAAATATAGGATTTCTTTTTTAAAACATTTCTAGTATGGAAATAATCATATAAACATATGCGGTAGAGAGAAGACTCTAATGAACGCCCACATCCTCACCATCCAGCTTGAATAGCAGCTCCAGACCAATGCTGTGCCCTCCATGCCCCCTTCCCCCCCCCACTAAGCTCTGAGCTCCGGGACCCTTGGAAGCAGATCCTAGATATCAATTCATTGGTACAGCTTTCTTACGTTTCTCTAAAAGACAAAACACTTTTTTAAAAAATGTGACCACAATACCATTATTACTCCTAAGGTCTTTAACAATACCTCCTTATTTTAATCAAGTATTCATTGTTCAGATTTCCCCCAACAGTCTCATTTTCCCCCCCTCCATTGGTTAAAATTAGACTCCAAACAAGGTCCACACATTGCATTTATTGGCTCTGTCTGTTAGGACTCCCTTTCTTTTCTTCATGTACTTTATGCATGGAGGAAACGCGGCTGCTTGGAGGCGTGAGTGTTGCGAATATGGGACTGAGCTGAGCGCCCCCGCGGAGCAAGCAGGACAGGGAAGGCCGAGGATGACCGGGCAGTCCAGATAGTCGGGTCACCTATCTGCAGGAAGGAGGCAGAAGGTGGAGGCCCGTCCTGAGCAAGGGGAGAGGCCAGGGCTGCTGAGGGCCGGGGCCTGTCCTTGTGCTCCCTGAGGCCTTACGGCTGCTGGAGCTGAGGGAAGGCGGGAAGATGGCCTGAGCCCAGGAACAGGGGCAGAACCAGGTGGGCGAGAGGTCAGGGGCCAGGCTGGAGGTGAGGGAGAGGCTGGGCCTGAGGTCAGGCCTGGAAGGAACAGGATGTCTGTGTCGTGGATGAAGGGAGAGGACAGTGCCAGAAACCAGCTCCTCCCTCCCTGGCCCGGTCCCCGGTCCCCAGAGCCCCTCCCTGGCCTCCCAGCTACAGCTCCTCCCAGGGGCCCGGACACCAGATCCCTTCACAATGCTGGTGGTCGGTGGCCCCGAGCCCTTGTTCTGCCTTCTCCTCCTCCTGCTCCTGGGCCCCCACAGCCCTGAGGGGGCCAGTCCTCCTCAGAGAAGGTTTGAGTATAAGCTCAGCTTCAAAGGACCAAGACTGGCGCTGCCTGGGGCTGGAATACCCTTCTGGAGTCATCATGGAGGTGAGGGGCGGGGTGGGGACCCGCTGGAGGGGCTGACGAGCTCTGGGCAGGTGGCTGTGACTTGGTGGGGAGCGGGCCTGCCGGTACCAGCCGCTGCCCAAGAGGGCTTGTCTCCTCCTCCACCCACCACAACCCCACCCCCATCCACCAGTCTCAGTCTCTCCTCTCTGCCTCTCTCTCTGCGCTAGGACTTCCCTCTTTTCCTTTTGCCTCTCCTTGGACCCCCTCTTCTTCCTCTGCCTCTTGGACCCGTAAGTACACACATGCTCGCTCACATGCTGAGCCTCAGACACACAGACACAAGGCAACTTGGACCAGCACCCGCCTCCCTCCTCCCTGCTCCTTGCCGCCAGGAGAACTGGGGCTGCCTGAAAGGAGGTACCCTCATGGCCAGCTGTTTTGCCAGAGAGGGCACCAGCTCTGCCCTGTGTGTGTGTGTTGGGTGGAAGCAGGCATGAGAGCATCTTAGCTTCGGGAACTTCCAAGCCCAGGCCTACAGAGTCTGTCTTCTACTCGATCTCGTTCAAAAAGGATTTTTTTCCCCGATGTGGGGCTCAATCTCACAACCCTGAGATCATGACCTGAGCCGAAATCAAGAGTCAGACGCTTAACCCACCCAGGCACCCCTCAAAAAGGCTTTCTGAGGACTTATAAGGACCCAGGCAGTACCGAGGAGCTTAAATTAGGAATGAACAAGATTAAGAATTAAAGCTGAGGCCGGAGATGAGTCCAGGAACATGGCTTGTCACCAAAACATGCTGTGCGGTCTGCCCGCCCTTCAGAGTTGGGCCATGGATCTGGTTCAGAGCCACCTAGCAGGCAAAGCAAAGAGAGAAAGCAGATCCAGTATGTGTTTGTGTCTATGAGAGGGAAGTTCTGAGACAGGGCACGATTCCTGACTGAGACCAGAACAAATATCCCTTTAAGATGACAGGCCTTGTCAGGAGGGTCTTTGGCCCCATCTTCCCTCACAGAGGCACAGGAGGTAAACAAAGGAAGGGGCTGATTCTCACAGCACCAAACCAGGCTCTGCCTCAGGCCTACGAAGGCAGGGCCTGTACAACCAACACTCCCTGTTCTGGGCCCGGTCAAGTCTGGAGTGTCCCAGACCATACAGGGGAGCAGAAGCACGTTCTCCAAGATCACGCAGTGATATTCGTCTTGTCCGTTCATTCATTCACTCATCCTTTCATCAGACTTCCACCACCATGCCCCTCTGTGCCCAGCCCAGAGACATAGGGCTGTCAGACTCAAGGAGCCCGCAGTTTGGGATGAGGTCTCATGGACAATCCACATAAAGCTGAATGCATAAGTGTCGTATACAGTGGACAATCCTTGCCTCCTACAAGTCACTTCGGATGCAGTGGTGGCCTCTAAGGGCCCCCAGGACATTTGGCCTTACAGCCTCTGAGCCTCCCCGCCCCCAGCCCTGGCCTTGCTGAGCAAACAGCCTGGATTAGCAGTCTCCGGAAAGTCCTGGCAAGGCCTGGGCCTTGGGCCAGGTTCCAGGCTGGCAGATCAGAGGGGTGGGGAGCCAGCTGGGGTGAGACCTCTGATCTCCCTTCCCCTGATTCCTGCCAAGCCTGCCTCAGTTTCTCTCCCCTTTCCCTCCTCCTTCCACATAGGTCTTCCCCTAGCTACAGCCACTGAGAATTCTCACACCCACACTCCATCCTCCACCCTTTGCTTACAGTCCTGCCAGCCAGTTCCCACCTTTGCTTTCATGCTTTCCTCACCTTTGAATGTCCCCTAGGTCCCCCCACCAGGAAGCCCCCAGCCTCATGTGGCTACACTGGAGTCCCTCCAGGCTTCCACAGCCTGGAGTCCTGAACCCCAGCGTGACTGTCCTAGCAAAGCACTCTGCTGGCCTGTGGCCTTGGGCACGTCCTTTTCCTTTACAGGGACTGTTTCCTACCTGAGACACAGAAAGGGGTAGACACAAATCTCTCCTGTGGTGGAAGAAGCTGAGGCTTGAACAATGCAGGGGTTGGGGGAGCCGAGCCCACATACAGTAGAAAATTAGGGTATAGCTTGTGATGCCCCCAAAACTTAACTGTTAATATTGACCAGAAGCCTTACTGATACACAGACAGTCAAGGAACACATATTTTATATATGTGTTATAACACATGTCTTATATCCTGGATTCTCATAATAGGGTAAGCCAGAGAGAAGACAGTGTTATCAAGAAAATCATAAGGACGAGGGGCACCTGGGCGGCTCAGTCTGTTAATCGCCCGACTCTTGGTTTTGGCTCAGGTCATGATCTCAGGGTCCTGGGATCAGGCTCCACGCTCAGCGCGGAGTCTGCTTGAGATTCTTTCCCCCTCCCTCTCCCTCCCCCTCTGCTCCTCCCCCTGCTCACGCTTGTGCCCTCTCACACTCTCCTTCTAAAATAAATAAATTTTTTAAAAAAGAAAAGAAATCGTAAGGAAGAGAAAATACATTTGCAGTATCATACTGCAGTTATCGAAAACATTTGCGTGCCATCAGTCAAGGGTCAGCTGTACTTTGGAACCAGATGGAGCTGAGTTCCAAACCACTTAGTTCTTTAACTCTTCTGAGCCTCAGTTTCCTTGTGTGTAAAATGGGGTCTTTTAAAAGCAGACTGCACAGATTTGTGGTGAGGCTTGTGTGAGAAGGCAGGTAAACCTCCCCCCAACCCCATGGATCTGGCATCTGTTGCCCTCCCCTGGCAAAGCCCCCCCCCACAGCTGTGCTGGGGTTCCCGTGTCCAACAGCTGGCCTGTTATTTCCTGGCAGGCCTTGATGTTACCTCCTTTTTTCCCCTGGCCCAGCCCAGGCCAGAGAGAGAATGATGGGGGAAGTGGGGACGGTGGGGCCCCGGGCCTGAGCTGCCCTGGTCCACAGATGCCATACTGGGCCTGGAAGAGGTGCGGCTGGCCCCATCCATGCAGAACCGCAGCGGCGCCGTGTGGAGCAGGGTCCCCGTCCTCTTCTCTGCCTGGGAGGTGGAGGTGCAGATGAGGGTGACTGGGCCGGGGCGCCGGGGAGCCCAGGGCGTGGTGAGTGGCCCCAACCAAGGCTGGGCAGAGGGGGTGAGGCCGGGAGGCGGGTGGGGAGCCCGAGGTTCCGGTGTCCTGAGGGACCCCCGGGCTGAGCCGCTGGGGACCCGCAGGCCGTGTGGTACACTCGGGGCAGGGGCCAAGTAGGCTCTGTCCTGGAGGGGCCGGCCTCGTGGGACGGCATCGGGATCCTCTTTGACTCCTCGGCCCAGGATACCCAGGTGAGTCGTGATCTGCCCCCCGCCATCCACACTGCCCATGTTCCTCCCTGTGCCTGCGGCTCAGGCTGCTTATCCCGTCCCATGCAGAACAGCCCCGCCGTCAGCGTGCTGGCCAGCGATGGACACACTCACTACGAGCCGCCTGGGTAAGGGCCTGTCTGGACGGACCCCTACCCCTCTCCTGGGCCATGAGAGCCTCAGCGGTTACCCACACCGCCGACTCATGCCCCTGGCCCAGCCTCTGACAGCCCCCCACCCCCCACCCCGCCCTGGGCCTCTTGCCCCGGGCTCCCTCCAGCTTGGTCCCAGCTGGGCCTCCTCCGGGGCAGGGGCCGGAGTTTGCTTGCACTTCCCCGGAACTGCCCCACCGAGTCCTCAATTCATTCAACCTAACAGCCCCCCCTTGGGGGGCCGGGTGTGAAACGACACAGGGCAGAACCTGTGCTGGGCGCTGTCACTCATAACATCTCATCTGATCAGCAACACTCTGGAGAAGGGGGATTATTAGTCCCTGATTACAGGGAGGACGTTGAGGCCCAGAAAGGTGGAGGGACTTGCCCGAGGTCACACAGCTGTGTGCAGAGCTGAGATTTGAGGCCAGATGGCCCACGCCCTGGCCCTGCGTCAGCTGCCCGCCTGCCAGGGCCTTCCCCTTCTCCCGGGTGATGTGGCTGCCCGTCCCACCCCGGGCCCGGCTGCCTCCTCGCTGTCTCTTAGCAAACATCCCTTAGCTCATAACAATTAGAATAATTGCCAGCGTTTATGGAGCAGAGCTTACCGGTATGCCGGGCACAGCACCAAGCACTTTGCACTCACTGTCTTAGTTATAACATAACAATGTCATGAGGTAGTTTCAATTATTATCCTCATTTTAAAGATGGGGCAACTCGGGTCTGGAAGGATGTGGTAATTTGCCCAAGGTCCCACGGGCTGCTCTTCGGAGCTGTGGCTTCTCCCTGCTCCGTGCCGCCTCCCTCCTGGCTGAAGGCAGCCGCGACCGCGCTGGGCTGTGTGCCCGGAGACCCTCGGGAGCCCTCTGGCCCGCAGACCTCTGCTCGTGCTGCCCGTCCTGAGTCTGTCCTGCTCCTTCGAGCTTGGAGAAGCCTTTCCAGAGGCGCAGGGGCACGTGGAGGTTAAGGGAGGGACAATGGGAGGATGCAGTGGGCCTGGGGGACTGAGGGCAGAACTCCACTGTTGGTCCAGACTCTGTCCCCCGAGAGAAAAGTCACAGGAAGGCCTTGGCCTCTTCTGTAAACTCCAAGTCCCAGCACTCTGCCAGGCAAGGCTTGCTTTCCCACTCCTCTCTCTCCTGCTAAAGAAGCACACTACAGCAAGGGAGGCTCAAGCTAGACCACAGGGACCTGTCCCGTCCCAGGTCACCCAGTGGGGAGGGTGGGGGTGCCGCAGGCCCACGCAGAACGGCCTCTGGGACCGCCCCCACCGGCCCGGCCGTGGGTCCTGTGCGGCCAGGCTGGATTCCAAGTGCCCACAGGAACGGAGCCAGTGGGGTGCTGGGCTCCTGCCACCGGGACTTCCGCAACCTGCCGTACCCCTTCAGAGCACGGATCACCTACTGGGGGCAGAGGCTGCGCGTGAGTAGCCCCTCCTGCTTTTGCAGGTTCTCTGGGCAGGGAGGGGCAGACCATAGGGCTCAGAGCTATAGAGTTGCTATGTGAGCACCCATGACCCCAACCACACGTCCCTGGCACATATGGGCGGCGCTCTCGTGGGACCCTCCCTGCACAGATTGCTAACCCCCAGAGCACATACTTAGGAGGGCTAGCGCGAGACCAGGTGAGCGCGTCCCTCCACGCCATTCTGACACCAGGCCCTGCGGCCGCCTTTACAACCAGGGGAGTCAGTGACTCAGAGGTGGAGATGATGCTAGGGTCAGGGGAGAGGAGGGGGTTCCATGCGCAAGGGGCTCAGTCCTCTGTGCCCCTCAGGTGTCTTTGAACAGTGGCCTCACTCCCAACGACCTAGATGAGGTCTGCGTTGACACGGGGCCCCTGCTTTTGGCTCCTGGAGGTTTCTTTGGTGTCTCGGCAGCCACCAGCACCCTGGCAGGTGAGGACCTTCTGGGCAGGTAAGAGCAGAGGAGTGATACCTAATGACCCATGACCCATCCTGAGCACACCTTCTAAAGAGCTCTGAGTTGGGTGTGGGCCAGCCACTTGCCCTCTATGTGGCCTGGGGAGTCATGCACGAGCCCTCTCTGGGCCTCTGTTACTATTGGGGAAGCTCATGTCTGCCTTGCAGAGTTGCTGAAAGTCTCAAATAGGATAAAGCACAAGAAGTCTTTAATCCAGTGATGGCCCCATAGGTGCCCCTAGCTGGGAACTGTGGGGCAAGTGGAAGAGGGACAGCCATGAGGGACATTTACGGAACTGGAACAAAAGGATATAACATAATGAAGAGTCTACGGAGGGACCCACAGCTGGAAAGCAGGGTGCAATCTGAGAGTGGGAGCTCTTGAAGGCTAGGACTTTGGTCTTCAGACTCCAGACATTAGGGAGCCATGGCAGGTTTCTGAGGAGGAGAGTGACATGGTCAGAGCCATGCTGAGGAGGCAGTCATTGCGTGGTTGCTTCTACCAGTAGCAGCCACGCTCTGGGGCCTGAGGGTGTCACCCGGTCTGTTGCCCTGTCTCTAGCCACTCACCGTGGCCCACCTTTGGCTCTGTGTGTGGGTCAACCCTCACAGTCCCCCCATCTGCTTGTCTGACCCTCACACATTTCTTATGAAGTGAGCAAGACGAGGGATAGAGCTGCCCAAAGTCACCCAGGTCTCCTGCCTGCCTGGAATATAATGGAGCCGGGGGGGGGGGGGCGGGGCTGAGTAAGTGGGCAGCTGGATGGAGGGGGGCATCTTCCCTTCCCTTCTCTCCCCCCTTTCCAGATGACCATGACATCCTGTCCTTCCTGACCTTCAGTCTGAGTGAGCCGGGTCTGAAGGTAATGCCAGCCCTGGGCCGGCCTTCAGGGGAGAGACAGCCCAGGGACCCCTCCCCACCCCAGATGCTTCTGCTCACATCACGTGCAGTCAGTCCTATCGTCCCAGCCTTTATCTCTACAGCTATCTGTCTATCTCTCTGAGCTCTGCTCAGGCCAGGCCTTGTTCTGGGCAGTGCTGGGGGCCAGAGGTGACCTAGAGCTAGGCCCTGTCCCGAAGCATCTCCCCAGCTGGCTGGGGGCTGCGGGAGCATGGAAGAGGGGCCCTGACTGGCCAGGGGGAGCAGGGAAGGCCACCTGGAAGAGATGAGCTTGAAAGGGCCGAGCGAGGTAGCTGAGAGGAGGAGCAGCGGGGACAAAGGTCTGCGTCCTGAGAGAGGTGGGGAGCTGGGGCAGCAGCAGGAGGGAAGGGTGTGGGGATCGGCAGCAGCTGGGCTGAAACCACAGGGCCTGGGGGCTGAGCCGAGGGAGACCCAGCGGGAGTGCTCCAGGAGGAGGGTTGGAGGCCCCGTGCGAAAGCTCCCTTCACCTGCGGATCTCCCACGGGTTTCAGGCCTGAGTTTTATCTTCTTTTTCCAGCCTCCCCCGCAGGCCTTTCTGGAGATGGAGGAGCTCCGGCTGGCGAGGCAGCTGGAAGGGCTTTGGGCAAAGCTGGCCCTGGGCCCCAGGAAGAATGCGATTCCACAGCCGAGCTCTGAAGTCCAGGAAGAGGGTAGGGACCCAGGGAGCAAGCAGGTGGGGCAGGGGCCCATTTGAGTACCACAGGATCCTCTTCCCTTCAAACCAGGAGTCCTTTAGCTAATGGGGAGATGAAGGTCTAAGGAGGCCATATCTAGCAGACCCTGGGTCCCGGCTACTCTGTCTTATCCCCACCTCACCACCCAGGCAAATCCTTCCAGGGGAGTCTTGGAGGCAGAAGCCATGCCTTTCTGCTCCCCCTCCCCCAAGGCCAGGCCTCTCTGATCCTGCTTCCAAGGAGCCCCCAAAAGATAGGATCTGCTATCTCACTGCAGCTGGCTGCATGTCCCAGCTCTGCCCCAATCTCCAGGGGAAAGAAGCTTTGGCCTGGAGGAGATGCTGGGCAGACACCGCCAGATCCTGCAGGCTCTCCAGGGTCTGTCCCAACAGTTGGCCCAGGCTGAGAGGCAATGGAAGAAGCAGCTGGGGTCCCCAGGCCACACGAGGCCTATGGGAGCCTGGGTGAGTGGCCCCTGGGGCACCCAAGACCCTGCCTGCAGGCCTGGAAAAGCAAGCTCCCTCAGGCATTGGGTCCCTGGCACCAGTGGGCTCCCTCTGTCCAGAAGGAGGAGCAAGCACTATACTTGGGAACTTGTCTCCCCCAAGGTCTGGAGGGAAAGGAGAGCCGGGGTGCGGTGCTGCAGGTGGCAGGATGGGGTGGACCTGCCAGGCAGAGGAGCGTGCGGGAGGGTGGCCCTGCATGAGCACATACCCACGGATCCACGCGGCTGGGGCTGGGGAGAGGAGATGCCAGGTATTTGGACACAGGCTGTAGACAAGTGCCAGAAATAGACTGGGTGCTAATTTGCATGTAGCTCCACATGTGATTTGGTTCACATACGGCTTGCTTAATGCTCAGATGCACCAGAATCCTTGTTTCATCTCCACTGCCATCCTGGCTTCCCCTCCAAGAAGCCGTGCCCCATGGCACGCCCAGCCCGGGGCCTGAGAGCTGGACTCAGTCAAGATGTGAGATGCCGGGCAGAAGAGACCCGTGACTCCTGGGAGCTTTGCTGGGCTCTGGCAGCTCAGGCCTTTCAACTTGTGTCCTCAGGCCAGAGCAGCTGAGGCTGGGTTGCTGGGGGTGGGGTGGGGGTGGGGAGTGGGGATGGTGCCGCACCCCAAGGCCAGGCCTCTCTGATCCTGCTTCCAGGCCCCGAACTCCTCCTGCCAGATTCTGTCCCACCCCAGAGAGGGGCGGTCACTTCTCCAGGCCACTCAGCAAGACAGAGGCCCAAGCACTGAGAGTTGTTCGGCACTGGCCCCATCTTGGACTGTGCCCTGGGGGGTAGTAGGTAGGAGAGGACTGGACTGGGCCTCTGCCTCCTTCAGGGGCAGAACCATTTCTGCAAAGGGCAGAAAGCCCATGACCCTCAGGGGGAGGGGCTTGAGAGGAGGGGGAATCCAGAAGCCCAGCTGGACAGAGGAGAAACGCAGTGTGTCGGATAATGTCTAAACTGATGAGGGGCCAGGCAAGCTGGCAAGGACTTCCAGAAGGAAGAGGGCTACAGTGTCCTTGGGGAAGAGGGACTCTGAGAAGAGAGGGGCTGTGCCCTGGGCCCTAGAGAACAGAGCGGCACTCCTGCAGGACTCTGCCAAGGTCAGCGCCCTGCTCCATGGACAGAGGACTCTGCTCCAGGACCTGCAAGAGATGAGGTAAGGGCACCTGCAAGGAGGGGTCCTGGGGGAGGGACAGAGAAGCCCTGCTTCACCCACTTGCTCAGCCTCAAGTTCCTCCATTGGCCCCCTATTCCTTTCCTCACTTCCTGAGCATCTGGCACGAAGTCTGGCACATAAGGAGGGGCTGGGGCAGAGTTAGGTTTGTCCAGTTGACCTGAACTTAACTGAATCAAGTTTAAAGTCTGAAATTCCTAGTTTAAAAGTAACTCTCCCTGGAAGGGACTCTTCATGAGAGCCCCTCTCAGACACCCCACTTGCCCAGGGAAAGTTGATAAATCTGAGCCGTCCTTCAGTGACAGCTCCTGGAAGGAGGGGATTTTTTTTTTTTTAAGATTGTATTTATTTATTAGAGAGAAACAAAGCACAAGCAGGGGGAGCCAGGCAGGGGGAGAGGGAGAAGCAGACCCCCTGTTAAGCAGGGATCCCACTCGGGGCTCGATCCCAGGACCCTGGGATCATGACCCGAGCCAAAGGCAGATGCTTAACTGACTGAGCCACCCAGGCGCCCCACAGAAGGGATGTTTTAATGACATTCTTGGAGGAACCATAACCAAGATTGGGCCCAGCTGAAGGGGGGGGCAGTCCCTGATTTCTTTTTGCCCCCCCTCCAGCCCCCCAACACCCCACTTTAGGCCAAGCCTCAGGAGCTACCTCTAGAGCTCTGGGGACAGGGAGGTCACTTTGATGCCACAGAGGAGGAAAGCTTCAGGCTAGATGCTGGCTTCTGGGTGCCTCACCCACATCTAGATGCTTGGGGGTGGGGACATGGGAAGAGGGAGAGGAACTAAATCCCCTGGGGGCTGGGGCTGGAAAGCAGAGCCCAGGGAGGCTAGAGTTGAGACAGACAACTTTAAGGGGACCTTTCTCTGAGCTAAAGCTGTCTGAGGATACAGGAAGAAGGTTTGGAGAAAGAAGACAGCCCCTAAGAAGGTGCCCTATGGATGGTGCCTGTTTCCCACCAGGTGCTGCTGTTAGGGATTATGAGAAATGGTTAGGAGGTTTGGGTGCAACCAGAAGGCATAATGAGTCATCTCCCTTGGTTTCCACCCCCCACCAGGGATGCAGCTGCCCACGTGGCCTCCAGAGCCGAGCTCTTCTATCTGCCTGTGGGCACCAAGCATCATTTCTTAGAGCTGGCCCAGATCCTGAGCCTCCTGCAGAAGGACCTTCAGGGCCCACTGGTGAGAGGGAAGGAAGGGGTACCATGAGGACCCCATCCTTGAGGTCTGGGCTCAGGCCCCCTTCCTCTAGCACTTCTGCATCCCCAGGCCCTCCTGCCCTTGTGCTCCCCTCTTGGGACTGCTGGCAGGCACACCAGTGTCTGTGTCTGTAATACACATGTGATCTTCTCTCTGCCCTCTCTGCCCTCTGGAGGCTCCCATAGACTCTCAATGCCAGCAGGGCCCTGGAGACCCTTGGGTCCAACGCCCCTCAGTGACCAGAAGGGAAACGGGAGTATTCAGAGCTCGGTGATAAAGCCCTCCCTTCCCCGTGCCCCATCTTGCTCTTACCTTTGCCCTCACCATCACCTTGTCTTTCGTTCTCTACTTCTCTCTTTCTCATCTCTAGAGCCTTCGGAGAGCCCTGATGATCCCAGGCCCTAGGCCTTCCCAGCTGTTCCCACAGATGGAGCTAGAGGGGGGGATGCTTTGTTCTCTGACCCCTCTCCAAGTTCCCTGGATGAGAGCCAGGGTGCCCCAAGCCCGGGGAAAGGAAGTAGAGCCCACACATGGCCCAGATCCCAGGTCCCCTTTTTCCTTTTGGGTGAGAAGCTGATCCAGGACTTTAGAATGTCCCCTTTCAGGAAGCAGCAACCAAGAAGCCCCGCCCACCTGGCCAACCCCCAGGGGCCTCCTCATGCCTGCGGCCCAGCATCTTCTTGTTCTTCCTCCTCCTTCAAACTATAGGCTTCTTCTGTTACGTGCACTTCAGGTGGGTCTTCCCATGGGTAAGACATCCTACACCTACCTGGCATCTCTTAATTCTGGATCATAGCCACTCGATTTGAGAGATGAGGCACTGAGGCCCAGGGGGACTGTGCCTGGTCTACCAGCTGACAAGGAGCAGTACACAGGCTAGGACCCATTTTTCTGATAGGCTCTACTGACCACTGGCTCAATTGCTGGCCCCACCTAAGTCCTGCAATCACAGAAATCACTTGCTGGTATGAGAAACTGATGAGTAACTGATAGTTATGTGGTCAGTGCCATGATGGCAGGAAGCTCAGGGGCTATGACAGTACAGGAAAAAAGCACTTGACCCAGCTTGGGGCGATCAGGGCATTGACCTGGAAGGGACATTGGATATGGGTCATCAAGGTAACTAGAAGTTTTCCAGCCTGTCAAGATAAGTAAAGGCATCAGTGCAGAGGAATAGCATGAGAAAAGGCATGGAAGCATGAAGAAAGCACAATATTCTGGAGAAGAAGTGGCAAGTTCAGTACTGTCAAAGCAAAGTGTGGGACCAGTTTGTGAAACTGGGCAAAGAGAATTTAAAAGGTGGTCGGAGGTCACTAATTCTGCTTGGTGGGTGTTTGTTGAATGAATGAAACATTTAGAGATGGAGAGTGTGCTAAGGTGCTCAGAAATGGGACTGACAGTCCTTATTGGTGGAATTTCAAGACAAGAAGAATCAGTGTGGTCTGGGGTGGTGCCAGGGGAGAAGTGAAGTGTGCTGAGCTTTAACAGCAGAGTAGAAGCGGGGACAGCCTCCAGGTGAGAACAGCAAAGGTACAAAGTGGAAATGATGACAAGCTTATGCATTATGTAGGCTTGCAATGGTGGCCATAAGGCTGGAGCCACTTGGACAGACCCTGAATGCCAGAGGAAGAATGTGGTCTTGATGGGGCAGGCCAGGGAGCCACAAAAGGTCCTAGAACAGGGGAGGCTCTGGGGGAGAGATGCTAGAGAGGTGAGTGTGGGAGCCTGGTCTCAACAACCCCAAAGGCAGAAATCCAAGTAACCTTCTTCTCCTTTCCCTGGCAGTAGGCAGGAGCTGGACAAGAGCCTTTGGGACTGTTTGTCCACAGGCAGCCCTCTGTGTCCTGCACCATGCATCCCTGGGGCCCTGGGGGTTCTGAGGAGGCAGCCTCTCTCCCCCAGCATGCATGCATGACTCACCTGAAAACCCTGACGGAGGTGGATGGTGTCTAGGGAGTAGAGAGCTTGGCCAATACCTTCTCCTTCTGGGTGCCCAGCTCCTGCCTGCACCTTAACTTTTGCGGAGCTCCAGTCTTATTAAAGGTGATTTACATCTTCCCATGCCCCATGCTTTGATAGGCTCATTTACCTTCGGACTTCACCTTAATCTTTCTGAAGGCTTTCACCTTTTCTGGACAGGAAGCTGGCAGTGGGCTCCAAGCAGGCAAGGAGGTCAAGGACTGGCTTGATTGCCAAAAGACCAGATACCCCACAGCCTTGAGCCCTTAGACAATGGAGGGAGAGGAAGTCCCAACTGTGTATAATTCTATCCCCAAATTCACCCAGAACAAAGAGTGGTATCTCCAGGGGTCCTTCTTGGCTCAGTCCAGCCAACATCACCATGAACAACCCTCTCCTTCTCCACTTCTTGCAACTTTAGGGTTCAGTGGGGCTGGTAAGTGACGGAGAACTCTGAGGCAACCCATGGAGACATAATTGGGATTCCTGCTTTCTGGTCTCCCTCCCTTTCCCAGCGTCCAGATCTTTGAGCAGCTGCTGGGGCAGCGGGATGGGGAGGATGGGGTAGGGCCCAGGGCTGGATCTTTGCCCCTTGCTGCCACTTGAAACCGCCAGCTGAAATCCTGGCTCTCAGCGACCTGGGAGAGGAGGGGGTGGAGGAAGAGTAGGGAGCAGGGTTCCAGGCGCATCAGTGCAGCCCCTTTCCCTGGGGAGCGACCCCACCCCCGCAGGCCCTAATCCGTTGTCAGCAATGCCCAGGCGGAGCTTGGCGTGGAAGGAGGCACGTGGGGGAGGCGGGAGTGCGGAGCGGGCACGTGGTCCAGCCTCCTCAGCCCCGTGCATGCCCCCCGCCCCCCGTGAGGAGGGGTTTGGGGAGGTGGGGGCGGGCCTGGGCAGGGGCGGGCAGCGGGAGGCTCAGAGCGTGGGGCGCCGGCCCGCGGCAGGAGCTGTCCGCGAGACCTAGTGCTGAAGTAGGTGCGGACGTGCCTGGCTCCCGGAGCCCGGTGCCAGGGCCAGCGAAGACCATGGCGTTCATGGTGAAGACTATGGTGGGCGGCCAGCTGAAGAACCTCACCGGGAGCCTGGGGGGCGGCGATGACAAGGGGGACGGGGACAAATCGGCGGCCGAAACGCAGGGCATGAGCCGAGAAGAGTATGAGGAGTATCAGAAGCAACTGGTGGAAGAGAAGTGAGTGGGATCCTTTCCTGCCTCCAACGACCTTCCCCCACCCCCTCCAGCCACCTGGCCCACCACTAGGGCGGTTTCAGACCCCGAGTCTCCTTACCTTACTTTTTTAGACATGGTAAGAAGCTGGGATCTGCTTTCTAGGCTGACCCCAGATCCACCCCATCTCAAACCCAGGACCCCGTCCCAGCTTCGCACTCTGGGCCCAGAGGGAGTGGGGGCAGGGACAGGAGGGACCTGGGATGGGGTGGGGGCACGTGCATTTCTGACGAAACAAGTAATCCCTTAATCCGATCTGGTCCTAGCTGTCTGCATCTTCCAACTGGAGCTCCTTTGAGCCTGAGGTTCTGAGAAAAGCGATGCAGCTGAGGGGTCTCAGAGTCACAGAGACAGATCTTGAGAAGGGGCACTCAAAGATATTGAGCCTCAATGTCTACTTGTGTGCAGGCAGTGCTGGCACAGAAAGGCAGCTGGGGCTGGACTCCAGAGCTAGGCTGCTTAGTTAGGTTCAGATCCAGGTTTTTCTTCTTTTTAGCTGGGTGACTTTAAACTGGTTACTTAAACCTTTCTGTGCCTCAGTTTCCTCTTCTGTAAAATGGGGATGGTAACCATAAAACATGCCTTATATATTTAGAAGGATTAAACTATTTAACGCATGTAAACTGCCTAGCACAGTGCCGAGCACATGGTGTATCATTAAATATTAGCTATTATTTCGCTTAATCCTGATAATAGTTTTGTGAGTTGCAAAAGAGGGAAATAAGTGACATATCCAAAGTAGCGGTGCAGCCAGGACGCAAACCCAAGTCTGTCCCGAATACTTTCCCCCACACGACACAATCTGTCAGGAAGGGAAAAGACAGACGGAGTTAAGAAGCCGCGAGGGACACATATTAGGGTCTGCAGAGCGAGCCAGACAGGCTGACGGCTCCCTCCCCGATAGTCCAGTGGCAGGTGCAGGGACAACAAAGGGCCGCGATGATGGGGGGAAGGCAGCACGGACTAACCGAGGCTGCCAGGTCGGAGCACCCTCGCGACACACAGGCGACCCTGGCAGGAGCGAAGCTGTTCGCGCCGCGGGACGCGGAGACCCCTCCCCCTTTCCTCGCAGACCCCGCCCTTTCTCTCAGCCCTTGAGATGACTCCGCCTCGGTGCTCCCGCAGGATGGAGCGGGACGCGCAGTTCACGCAGAGGAAGGCGGAGCGGGCCACGCTGCGGAGCCACTTCCGAGATAAATATCGGCTGCCCAAGGTAAGCTTAGGAGCCTGGGCTGGTAGGCACATGGGGACCCTGAGCTTAGAGCTCCCCACTCTTTCTCCGGACTCTGGTCTCTGCAACTCTCAGCTCCTAAAACTCACGGAGTTCTTGGTTGGATCCTTCGTTCTCTGACTCAGAGGACAGGGCTTGGTGCTGAAGGTAAGCCCAGCCTTCCCAAGACTGATAGGTTTGTGTTTCTGGAGCCAGTTCAGACCCCTTCTCTCCCCCCACGTCCCCCTCCCCCAAACCCCAATCAGGCCCGGGCAGATGAAGAAGTGGAAGGCAGTAGATTTTACCACAAGGTTGAGTACACTTGGAGCTCCTGCACACCCAGGGAGGGCGGGGTCGGGTAGAGAATGCAGCACCCACTGTGTGCCAGGCACTTAGCCTTCATGCCCTCATGTAGCCCCTCAATAATTCTTCCATGTAGCTATCACCCACACTACAGATAAGGAAACTGAGGCTCAGAGAGATTAAGGAACTTGACAAGGCCACACAGCCAGCTAGTGTTGGAGCGGGGTCAGAGCTCAAGCCTGTGAATGTGGAACCTCAGCTTGCTGTAGGACCCCTGGCTGCCTTCCAGGGTATGGAGTCCGCCTGCAGAGAGCAAAATGCCCACTGGTTGGTCAACAGCCAGGAGGATGTCTCCCATAGGCACTGCAGCACTAGATGGGCATGTAAGTGTTGCCTAACGAGGAAACTGAGGCACAAGGTACTCCCAGTGCCCAGAATCTTCCACTTGAATTGGAAGATCAGACATGCGAACATCACATTCATTCATTCAACAAATGTTTACTGATCCCTTGGCTGCCTCTGGCTCTCCACAGGGTACCAGTCTCTCAGTGGGAAAACCAGTCCAGAAAGCTGGGAAAGCTACTGAGTTAAACCCAGCTAGGAATGGAGTCATTGCTCAAATGCTTGACTAAGCACAACTCCTGTCATCAGGGAACTCTGAATCTAATAAAAGAGGGAAGACTTGGCTGTAACTGAGTAGGACATAAAGTGGGAAGCACCAGGGTCTCCAAAGGGGTAGAGAAATGCAACGACAACCAGTAGGTGTTGTGCAAAGAGATCACAAATGTTGGAATCCATGATGTAGGTTTATTTTTTTTTAATATTTTATTTATTTATTTGAGAGAGAGAGAGCACAAGTGGGGGGAGGGGCGGAGGGAGAGAGAAAAGCAGACTCCCCGCTGAGCAGGGAGCCTGACACGGGACTCGATCCCAGGACCCCGGGACTATGACCTGAGCCGAAGTCAGCCGCTTAACCAACTGAACCACCCAGGTGTCCCCATGATGTAGGTTTAAAACAATTGCCCCTGCTTCCTAGTTGTGCGACGTCCACAAGTTATTTACTTAAATTGAATAATTTACTTACTTAAACTGAGCCTCAATTTCCTTATTTGTAAAATAGAAATAAGAATACCTACCTCACAGGGGTATTTTGAATGTCAGCCATAGAGTAGGCACTTGATAAATGGTATCCGTCACTGTGATCCCTATGTCCTCCAGCATAGGTAATAATAGCCAGCCTATGACTTAGCTGACTGGAACAGTTTGACTCCTAAGCATTTTCATTTTGCTTTATTCACTATGCTAGTGTCTTCAGTATCTCAGAGTGAAGTTAGGTGGTATAAAAGTGCAAGGTCTCCATGTCCAAGTGTCAAAAGCTTGATCCTGGGATGTGGGGGTGGGGGCTGAACTCACTGGAACATATGGCTCAAGAATCTAAGGGTTGGGAGCCCAGTCCAGGCCTCCTCCCTGTCCCTTCAACTCTGGGTCTTCCTGGGCCTCCAGCCCCACTCCACCTCCTCCCCTCTTCCCTTCAGAACGAGACAGATGAGAGCCAGATTCAGATGGCAGGTGGAGACGTGGAGCTGCCCCGGGAGCTGGCCAAGATGATTGAGGAGGACACAGAGGAGGAGGAGAGGGCCTCCGTCCTTGGGCAGTTGGCCAGTCTCCCTGGCTTGGACTTTGGCTCACTCAAGGACAAGGCCCAGGCCACATTGGGGGACCTCAAGCAATCAGCTGAGAAGTGCCACATCATGTGACTACTTCCCCTGGGGTTGCCCACTGGGGTGACCAGGGGGCTGGGCCCACATGAGGGCTAAGAACATGTCTCAATGTCCAGGGACCCACACCCCATCTTAGTTTTGTTTCCCCCTGTCCCATGTTAGCTCAGGACCCTTCTCATCCATGGCCCAAACCTGCCTTCTGGTCTCTCCCTCTCCACTGGGTCCAGAGTCCCCATTCCTCACCCTTTCCCTCAGGACCCACCCTCTCTGCTCAGCCTGGAGAAGCCTCCTAAGATTGTAGGAATAGGCCCATCTCCCTCCGGCCATGGCCCCAAGTTCCTGCACACAGGAGCACCCATAGAGAGACACATAGAGAGACATGGAAACCATGGCGTGTGCGGAAGCATGCACCACAGACACATCCTGGCAAACACACACGCACACACACACACACGCACACACGCACAAGCCAGCCCCTGTAGACACCAACTCAGACATGCTTAGAGGGCTCTTTGGGCAGACACACTCAGTAGATCAGAAGCCCAACTTTGAGCCTCTGTGTTCATTCTCCTTGAAAGCCACTGCTCTTTCTGGGCCTCACTGCATCATCTCTAAAATGGGGGTGGACTGGGTAATTTCTAAGACTCTTTCTGGCTTGGCCTCCCTGGCCCTCGGAGCCCACCCCGCACTCCTCCTTGGGCTGGACAACAGCTGCAGCCATAGCCTCGAGCGGCTGCCGTTGTACCGTGGGCTCTGGCTCCCGGGAGCTGAGTGATGCTGTGTGAGGGGCCGAGTGCCAAGGATGAAGCTGGCACTGAACGGTAGCCCAGGCGGCTCCAGGCCTTCTCTGGACCCAGGCCCAGGCAATTTCTGTTCTGTTCCTGTAGAACTCTCTCTGGATTCCATAGCTGGATCTCCTGTCAGCTCTGTGAAAAATAAAAATTTGAAATGATGTACCTATCCTCCCACTTCTTATAGACCTCCAGGAATCCTGGGGTTCGCAGGCCCACAGCCGTCTTCACCCGTAGCTTCATAGCAATGCCAGCCTCTCTTAGATGTTCAAGTCCTACCTCTTGGGGCCGTGGGCAAGGGCAGGGTTCCCGCACTGACCTAGGGCGCCAGGTCCAGCCTGGGGCTGGATGAAACAGGTCTGGGCTTTGAGGAGGGTGCAGCAGCCAGTTGGATGGGGGTGCACATGGACATGGCCGGGCCTCCGGGCCATTACTTGGGACCCCAGGAGGGGCTACGGCTCAATCACAGCTGTCTCCAGCACCTACACCTACCCCCCCTTCTCACCTTGGAGACGGCAGGTATAACAAAGAGAAGGCAGGGCCACTGCCTTCCAGTCCCGTCACTGCTGTGTGACTTTGAGCAGGTCCCTTTCCAAACTCTCAGAGCCTCTTTTCCCTGCTGTGAAATGAACTACCCCTTCTCTAAATAACAATGTTTCCAAGGATGACTGTTTGTAAAGCCCTTGACACTAGACCAATAAATGACAACTGAATCCTTAAAAAAAAAAAAACCCGAAGAGCCCAAATCTCATCCTACTTACCTGTGGGGGGTCCAGGAAAACAACGCAAGCAGGCCACCCCAGGGCCCTGAGCAGTGACAAGGTGCTACAGGCTCACCCCAGGTGTCCCTGCTTGGCACCAGCCTTGGGAAGCCAGCCAAGGTTTACAGGCAGCACAGCCATATGAGGGTTTGGTTTCAAGGGCAAAGTCTCCATTAGGCCTCCCTTGTAAAATAAGAACAAGAAACATAAAACCTCGGGCGCCTGGGTGGCTCAGTCGTTAAGCGGCTGCCTTCGGCTCAGGTCATGATCCCAGGGTCCTGGGATCGAGCCCTGCGTCGGGCTCCCTGCTCGGCGGGAAGCCTGCTTCTCCCTCTCCCACTCCCCCTGCTTGTGTTCCCTCTCTGGCTGTCTCTCTGTGTCAAATAAATAAAATCTTAAAAAAAAAAAAAAAAAGAAAAAGAAACATAAAATCTCTTCCGTAGGTAACATAGGGAGAAACAGGTGGAAGAGAGAGGAGAAAAAGAGAATGAGGAATGAGGAGGGTGAGGACAGGGAGGGACACAGGCCCAGGACGGGGCGGCTTGGGCTGTCACACCGAGCCTTCTCTCCTGAGCATCTCCTGGGAAGGGGCCTGGGCCTCTGAGCTGCTCCTAGGCTGCCCCCTGGGCAGTCTCTGGACAAAACCCCCTCCTGACCTTCCTGGAGCTGGAGGAGACCCAAGCTAAAGCCCCAGGCCAGGTGTGTGTGGGGGGAGGTGCATGGGCCTCCTCAGCTGCATCAGCAGCAAGGCCCACGTCAGCACGCCACCCTCCAGGGACCTTCTGCCTAATGGGATTGGACAGACCCCTTTTCCCTCAGTGGTTTGCAGGACCCAGAGTGAAAGAGGCAGAGAGGCAGGCCGTGGGGGAGGCTGGGGGGTTAGCACTCACTGAACCCTCACAAAATGAGCTGGTTGGGGCCTGGAGTCAGGGAGATGGGGGTGCTGAGCCCCCACACTCGTTTCCTCCTCATGCCTGGGGACCCCAAAAAGCCCTGACCTGTCTGCGTGGCCCTGGAATGGGGGGAGGAGGCTCTGGCGCAAAAGGAGCCAGCTCTGGGGCCCAGGCAGAGGTGGGCAAGGAGGACAGGCTGAGGGGTCTCCAGGCTCTGCTGGCCTCTCCCTGCCTCCCCTCTTACTTCCCCTGCTCTCAGGGCTTCTCTGCCAGTCCACGTCCTTCTCATTTGTGCCTCCCACCCTCTTCTACTCCGTTCCTGGCTCCTATCTGTCCCATACTCACACCCTCAGGTGGGGGGCTGCCTCTGTACCTGCCCCCACTCCCAAGCCCTCAGGGCCTGTCTACGTGACCACTGGCCCACTACTCTCTTCCCGGCCGGTTTCTGCTTCCACTTATTCAACAGTCACTTGGTCCGTGACTGGTCACCCCCCTGGTGTGATGGGAGGGCCACAGAGAAAGCCACTAGCCCCCAAACTTCCCTTTTCACAGCAATTAAAACCCTGCCATCAGGACAGCGTAGTTTAGAGTAAGCCATTTACCTCCCTGGGCCTTTTTCTTTCTCCTGTTTTTCTTCCCTCCTCCTTCCCTCTTTCTCATGCTTGCAGGCAGTCTGAGGTTACAGGAGATGTTGAAAGGGGACGAGACAGCCCCTGCGTCCCAACCCCCTCCATGTTTTCAGGAGGAGAGGGATGGCAAAGATGGCTGGCCTGCTCCCCTCACCCCACCCCCATTCTCCAGCCCCGTAATATGGGCGATTTCAGGAAGTTTGGTGACCCCTGACCTACTCCAGTCTCCTTCTTCTGCCTTCTACCTACCCAGACAGCTCAGGCCTGGTTCTCAGAGGGAGAGGGGTACAGAGACAGAAGCAGTGATTTTCCAGAGACCAGCTGGTCCCCAGGGTGGAGTTGGGAGGGGGATGGGGTTTGGAGTTCAGAGGACCTCCCCTTCCCCCGTTGGCCAGATGGTACCTCCTCAGACATGAAGGCCCCCCGGCAGGCGCTGGGGACATCTGGGGGAATGTTGGCTCGCTGAGCCTGAGATGCTGGCTGTGCCTATTGACCCGGGTGATGCCTGAGGCTGGGTTGGGGGCAGGGAGCTGTGCACAGGGAGTGGGAGGGGGCCCCAGAGCCTGCTGCCCTGCCTCTAACCCTGGGCCTGCCAGGCACACCTGTTCCCAGAACCCTGCGGGGCAAGGCTCAGGGAGAGCAGGGGAGCCAGGGTGGGCTGATCCGGGGGAGCAGTGGCGCTGAGGCTGCCTCAGCCTTATTCAGCAGGAACCGTGCCTGCGTGTGCGCGTGTGTGTGTGTGATCACGAGTGTGAGTCCATGTGGGGTCTGCGTGGGTCTGTGAACCTGAACGTGGCTTTGGTGTTTCTGTAGGTCTACTGCCTGGGGCCTGTGTCTGTGTGTTAGTGTGTCTGTGGGATTTCAAGTATGGGGATGAGTTACTCTGGAGAAAGTGATGTGCCCCTTCCCGTCATGTCCCAGCCTCAGGGCTGGGCCATCTCCCCTATGGGGGCTGGGCTGGCAGCTGGCTTCTGGGGACAAGAGCTCTTCTAGATGACTCCTGCAGGAACCAAGGTTCTCTGGGCGCTGGCTCTGGGCTTGGGGGACTGAGTGGAAGTGGGAGGACAGGGCAGATGAGGCACACAGATGATGGGGCGTGTCTGCCCTGCTTTGCGCACTTTCAAAGTGTTAAATGTGAGAGACGGAAACTCTTGCTCCTAGGAGGAAAAAAATATATTTTTTAAAGCAGATTAGCATATTTCCCATAGGTCTCTGCCATTCGAAGAGAACCCTAGAGAACAAGCCGCACCTCCTCGGGCTGGACTGTCTCCTTCCTTGGCAGGTGGCTTCGACAGGACCAGCTGGGCCTTTCCCGTCCCTGAAATGGGGCCCTCCTCCCCACACCCATCTGTAGGAGTTTCAGGCCCTTGTTTGGGCACAGCCAATGCAGAGATCACATACACACTGTGGGGTCCGCAGGCCAACCCTTGAGCCCATCATCCTTCTGTTCAATTGGTCTTTCAACCCCGTCCTTCCTCATTCCCACTCTCCCTCCCATCCAGTCTTCACCCACCCGCTCACTGGGTCCAGTCACTTTCCTTCCTTTCCCTCATTTTTCTCATTGAGGCTTTCTTGGGCAGCCCACTCCCAGAGATAATCTGAAGTACATTCCTTGCCCTAAATCTGAAAATAACATTGTGTTGAACTTGTACTGTGTCAGGCCCCTACACGGTAACTCCTTTAATCCTTACGAACCACCACCACTGGGCGCTTACCTTCATCCTCATTTTACCAAGAAACTGGCTAATCAATGGGTCCCAAGCTTCAGGGCCAAAGGGCAGAGCCAAGATCTTGGCCATGCCTTCTGCCCCCGGACCACTGCTCGACACTGCCCCCCAAAGGCCAGGCCAAGGGCTTCGGGGGAAATTAGGTCCCTCCCAGTATGGAAGCCCTTCCCTGGCCCCACTGGAGGGCCCCCACGGGATGCACTCCTCCTCCCTTAAGTCCCCAAAGATGCTCCTGCATGCTGTTCAGACCGAGACCTGGTAAGGGGAGAGCAGGCTGCTGGAAACTTTCAGATTGGGGTCCTGGCGAGCTGGGTTTGAGCACTTGAGACGGGAGAGGATAACCTTTCCCCGGGTCCAGCTCTCTGCTCACTGACCAGTCCAGGGGAAGAGGCCAGGGGATCCTGTCTGGGGATCCCGCTCTCCCTCAGGTTTCCCAGCTTTTCCTGGGACCCCTCCAGCCTCAGCCTGTGAACAGGGGATACCCTCTCTATTTTTCCCAGGGCAAGAAGAGAAGCACGAGTTCAGAAAATAATTTAATAAACAATGAATTACATTCTTTACACCTAGCCTCCTGCAAGGAAGACACCTCTTGTCCCAAGGAGGCACTAAAGGGCACAAAGGTTAGAGATCACCAGCACCCTTGTGGACTTTTTAAAAAGAACCCCCAAATAACTCCACTGTGTGTACATTCTTCTCCAGATTAAAGTCACTTTGTCCTCTTAAAAGCCCATGTGGGGAGCTGAGGAGGTATTAACAGCCCCATTGGAGAGCTGGGGAGATCAGGCCCAGAAAGGGGAAGGGACTTGCCCAGGGTCACACACGGGGGGAGCTGCAACGTCAGACCCAGAACCAGGTCTCCTGGTTTGCTGGCTCCTCCTCAGCCTGATAGGTCCGGCAGCCCCCATGCCTCCCCGCTCCAGGCCAGGACCAGCTCTGTGGCAAGTAGGGGCGAAGGATGAAGGCTGAAGACCACTCCCCTTGTGCCCCCTGGGCCAGAGCAGGAACAAGGCATGGCTTTCTTAAATTTGCCCCACCCCTGCAAAGTACATTATTTTCATGTCTGAAGGATTATCTTAAAATATTCAGAGGGTGGGTGAGGGTCAGCTCCCAGGAAAACGGGTAAGCTCTGTGGGGCTGGGTGCACACCGTGGGGTGGGTGGTCCCTGAGGGGTCTTGACGTGCCCCATTCCAGTGCAAGGGGGGAGGGGAGTTGCAGGAAGGGTTCCCAGGAAGGACAGGGGTGGGCACAGGGCATAGCTGCCTGCTGACAGGGAAGGGGCAAGAGCAGAAGTGCCCTGCAGAGGGCCCCCTGCCCTGTTCTCAGAGCAAACCCAGAGGCCTCCTGCCCCCAAACTGACAGGCTCAAGATCCAACAACCACCACATAACCAAAGTCACACGAAGGAAACTCTTCTCCCAGAGTCCTGCTCCTTTCCCTCAGGGGCCAAGGCCCAGTGCTTCCAACACCGACATGGGCCATCAGACCGTCTGGGAAGTGCAGAGGATCCTGAGGGGGGGCTAGAGATGCTGGGATGTGGGGGGGTCCTCAGAGTTGCCCATCCAGGATGCCTGCTCCGTAGCACTGCACAGGGCCACAGGATTCTGGACATCAGTCTAGGGGAGTGTATCCCCAATTAGGGGTGGCTGTGGTCTGTCCAGTCATCCCTCCGGGGTCACTGCAGGGTGCACGCTGTGGAGCGGAAGGGGGGAAAGTTCGTCTTAAGTCTCTGGCACAAAGGCAGAATCCAGCGCTGCCCCCAGCCCTTCCCCCTCCTTGGTAGAGGGTCCAACCCCAGGGCAGGACTCACAGCTACGAACAGACTCCGACAGTCCTTCTTTGTCCAGGGTCTCAGCGGCCCAGCGAGACTCCCTCATCTGTGGAGCGTAAAGGCAGCGCAGGGGTGAGAGACAGCCAGAGGCGGGCACAGGGCCCGCACCGAGTAGCCGCTGAGTGACTGAGCACGAGTGCCAAGGACAGAGACAGCGATGGGGAGACCTTCAGAGGAAGACGGAAGGGGGAGACACGGAAGGGGGCGCAGGCGACAGACAGCCATAGGCAGAGAGGGGCAGAACACATCCAGCCCGCGTGCCCACCTTGACCTGCTCCTTCAGGTATTCAGCTCGAGCCATAAGGTTCTGAACCTGCCGAGGGAAGACACGCCCATGGGGGTGTGGGTCGGAGGGGCCTTCAAATTGCTTTCCTCCCCGCTCCTGACGCTCTCCAGAACCCTCTACCCCATCCGAACAACTGCCCCCGAGCTCTCTATCCGCTCCCTTCTCCAGGAGGCCTTTCCAACCAAAGCAGCGTGCCCACTTTCCGCCGCTGGCTTCCCAGACCCTGTCTGTCCTGGCGCCCTGACCCCCAGCACCCGAGCCCAATGGAGTGCGCGGGGCCACTGACCTCCCAGGTCTGTGAGCTCTGGCTCCCAGACTTGGAACACCCTGAGGGAAGCTGAGGAGGGCCCCCAACCCGGGAGGCAGGGGGAAGAGGAAGCCTCCCAACCCTCCCAACCGCAGTGGGCACCTCGGTGTGAAGCAGCTCCCGCCTCCGGCCTGGGGGCTCCGCTACAAAGAGAGGGGGGACGTGTGGTGAGGGCTGGGCAGCCTGGGGCTTGGGGGAGTGTGGTGAAGGGGGGGCCTCACCTGCCAGCAGCACCAGCAGCTCCCCCAGGCCGTGCTGGTACAGGCCCAGGGCATCTTGCTCCCCGCCGGCTTCCTCCTCCTACAGCCACAGGGACACAGGGTCACTCAGGGACATGCCCTGGGCTCTTCCTGCCCCGTATGGACCCCTCGCACTGGGTACAAACCTTGGCTGTGGCAGCCGAAGCCACTTCCAGGGCAGCAAGGAGGCGAGGTTTGTCTCGAGCCATCTCTGGGATGAGGGCAAAAGCTCAGGGTGAGGGAAGCAGCCTGTTTTTCATCTCAGGGAACCTACCCCATGCTGCTGCCCCCTCGGGCTGGAGGGAAGCTGCTGGGGGCTGAGGCCAGGACGCGAGCCTACCTCTGAGCAGGTCTCGGGCAGAGGTCCCCTGCCTCAGCAGGGCCTGATTGGAGGAGGAGACGATGACTTTGAGCTCCTCGGCCCGGGACACGTACTGCCCCACCTGCAGGAGGTGAAGGGCTGAGAAGGGGCTGTCCCACCCCGACTCCCTCACCAGCACCCACCTCCAAGTTCTCCCTCTGGGTCCTCAGTGACTGCCCCACACTGTAATGGCAGGGGACCCCTGAGGCGGGCCGGACCCTCCCTGGGAGAGAAGCGCTGGTGCTCAGTTCTAAGAGAGCCAGTCTGCAGAGACCCCAGGATCGCTCACCCCTTTCCTTCAGGAGACTCCCTCACCCACCTTTGCCTTAATTGCCTCCTTCCGCTGGGCATCCACTTCATCTGTAGAAAGTGGGGGCTTACATGAGGCGTCTGCCCTGCCCCCATACCAAATCCTCCGGAATCCTCAAAAGGACCAAGGGCCACATTTACCCTCTGCTTTGTCTCCCACAAAATTCTGGGTGGGGAGCTGCTTCTGGAATCCATCCACCGCAGCTGAGGCCGCCCCACCCCTGCTACACCCAGGGGCTCCGGGCACTCACAGTGCAGGGCAGGCACGAAGAAGTCCAGGGCTTGGCAGTAGAGAGATAAAGCGGCCGCAGCATCCCCGTCCTGGTCCTTCTTCACAGCCTGCACCACCAGGGCGGTCTGGGGGACAGGCGGGTCGGGGGTCAGCCCCACACCACATGCTCACCACGAACACAGAAAGGCAGGTCCCCGGTGCACCACCGAATGGGGTCGATGAGCCCCCCACCTGCCCCCTCCCCATGCCCTCCCGCTGGCCTGCTTACTGCTCGGGCCAGGCTCTCCCCACTGGGCATGTGCTCCAGGTCCACCCAGGGGTGGGCGAAGAAGTCCTCGAAGGAGATGCGACGGCTGGGGTCCCGCTCCAGGAGCCGCTGCAGCAGGTCCCTGCAGTCTCGGGAGAGCGGCGGCCGCAGGGGGAGCTGTGGGGGGGTGGGAGACAGATCACACGGGGCCCCAACACCTCAGTCCCCAGCCCAGAGGCCAGTCAGGACCACCTGGTCTGGGGACGCCCCAGAGGGACACGTGTGCAGATGGAGAATCGGAGCCTCGGGAAGAACAGTGACAGGACAAGGCACTGGAGCCAGGGGAGAGCCGTGCCCTCACTGGAAGCCCTGCTGTTGGGAGCCCTGCGTGCAGGTGCTTCTTCCCTCCCTGGGTCACTCCTGGGAAGGCTGGGCCTGGCCTGCTTGCTTTGCTCCCACAGGGGGCCCACACACAATCAGTGGGGCAGGACCTTTGCTCCCTGCCTTGAGCGACCTGGGTTCCCATACCCCGGGCTGTGCGGGTGCAGTGAGGGCTCAGAACTCAGGGCCCTAACCCCCTCTCCCAACAGGTTGCCAAGCACCCTTCAAGACCCACCTCGATAACCCGGTTGCTCCGGATCTTCTCCTCCAGCTCTGTGAATGACCTGGAGGCAAAGGGGGGCTGCCCGAAGAGGGCTTCTGTGGAAGGGAGGCAGAGGGCAGGCTGGGAGGGGATAGGGTCAAGCCTGGCCTGGCCCACTCCTTGGGGTGGGGGCAGGGGGGCTGACACCTCTCAGGGCAGGGTCCCCGGGCCCGCAGAGTCACATTCGTTAGAACCCTTCAGGAGTGGCCCAGAGAGGCCTTGCCTGAGGACACAGGGCGGAGGTCCCTGGGTTGGGGCTGGGGACAGAGCTCTCACCGTACAGGATGACCCCCACGGACCAGAGGTCCACACGGGCGTCGTACTGCCGCTGACACACCATCTCGGGGGCCATGTAGAGCGGGGAGCCACGGAGCACATGCTTCTCGTCCCAGGGAGACATGTGCTGTGCGAAACCAAAGTCTGCGGGCAAGAGGCCAGGCAGCAGGGCCCCAATTCTAGCTGCTGTGGCTCCTGCCCTTTAAATCTTCACTCTGGGCTCCAGTTCAGGGGCTCCTCCCCACCCGCCAGGCTCACCAGGATCAATCCTACTCTGCAGCCTCTGCTCACACCCTTTCTCTCCAAATTAGCCTGAACACCCTCCTACATCTTCCTCTGGGAGCCAGCCCCCTCAGGCATCTTTTTCCAGGAAGCCCACCCTGATCGCACCAGCTACGAGGATAAGGGCCCACCAGGGATTAGAAGCTGAGGTTTTACCTTGCTTTCTGGCCTCCCAGCCTCAAGTCCATTCTTGGCTACAGCCACCTCCTCCCCCCCTCATCCTCCAACACTGCCACAGACCCAGTCGCAGGTTGAGCCCCAATCCTGGTGATGGACCAGTTCCCAACCCTGCTCACACACTGAGCCCTTCCCATGGTCACACACAGAGTCCTGACCCTGACTCTAGACTGAGCCCTGACCCCATCCAGTCCACTGCTGGAGTCAAGTGTGGGGAGCCCAAAAAACGTCCTGCCTTTTGGTGGTGGGGCCTGTCCTTGCATCTCCCAGCCCATCACTGCTTGATGACTCAACAGAGGGTGCCATGAGAACCAGGGCTGCTGAGCGAGCCTGGGCAGTGGGAGGCCTCGGCACACCCACCCTCCAAACCTCATCCCTGCTGTTCCAGACTCACACCTGCCAGTTTAAGGTGGGGCTTCTCCAAGGAGCTCAGCAGAATGTTCTGTGGCTTCAGATCCAGGTGAGAGATACTCCGTTCATGCAGGAACTGCAGGGCACTAGCTGGGGAGTAAGAAGACCCACACGGAGAAACAGGTCAGAGGAGCCCATCCTTCACCTGCCCCTCGCCCCCTCCAGCCTTACATCTGCCCCTTCGAGCTTGTCCAACCTGACTTCTGCGTTGGCTGCTCTACTGAATGTCTTAATACTTAAGTATCAGGTTCCCGCCACTTCTAAGAATTTGACCCCTACCCCCCTGGACCCATTCACAAGTCCCCTCCCCCTCCCAGAAGCCTCCCTAGCCCCCCAGCCCTTAGGGTCTTGTTCTTTTCCTTGGCAAAGCACTTGAGTTCTACCCCTGGGCCCTGGAATGTTCTACGAATCCGTTATATTATGTTCCACGTGTGGAAACCTGGACTCCCCACAAATGGGTGCTCCTCTCTGTCTCTCATGACATCGTTAAACCAGGGATAGGCACATGGGAAAGATGGGGCCCTAACAATCCAAGCTGAGACAGAGACAACTGCTAAGAAGGGCTCTAAGCCTGGGGTGGGGGGTTGAGGGGGGGCAGAGATCACAGGAAGGGGTGTCAGGAGGGGGTCAGAGGCTTTTACCCAACTGCTGCATGAAGACACGGGCCACCTTCTCAGGCAGAATCCTGCGGGTATGGATGAAGCGAGACAGGTCACCCCCTGCGCAGAACTCCATGATGAGATAGATGTTGTCGCTGTCCCACTGTGGTTACAGAGGCAGACAGGCAGCTTGAAGAGAATGTCCCTTCTCCACTCCCTTTGGGGTGGCCCCACCCCAGGCCCGCACCTGGAAGTCTTTCAGCTGTACGATGTGGGGGTGTCGAATGCCCTTGAGGATCTCAATCTCTGTCAGGAGGTTCTCCACAGATGCCTTGTTCAGACTCTTCTTGGCTACGCACTTTATGGCTACCACCTCACGAGTGTCCTTCTGTGGGGACAGGAGATTTGAGGATTCTGCCTTGAGGGGGCCAGAGCCCATGCCTGGCCCCTCTTCCCCCATCACACCAGCCTCCAGGCTTCCCAGCTTCCCCTTCTCAGGCCAGGGAGGCACCCGGATTCTGGAATCCCCGCCTCCCCACCCAGTCTGGCGTTCTCCGACGCTGCTCCATAATCTATCTCATTGTATTCTAGAGTGCCCCGACGAAGGCATGTCATTCAGTGCTCTAGAGCGGCGCACTCCGATTCCTAACTGGGTCCAGCCTTCTAGAACCCTGTCCCAGACTCCTCCCAGCCCATCAAGGATCCTCCCTGTTCTGCGCCTATTCTATAGTCAGTGACACCGAGCTCCACCGAGGCCTCCACCTGCCTCTCCAGACAAAACAGGGCTGTGTGGGCGTGCGTTTGTTTTTAAAGCCTAAGGGTGGCAGCCAGCTCCCAGCTCCTCCACCGAAGGGCGGCCGGCCGCGGGCCCGTCACTGCTCGCACGCCGCGTCTCGCCTCTCTCTCGCCGGACGCCCACCCGGGCTCGCTCGGGGTCTGGCGGGCACAGGGGCCGGGCCCTCACTGGTTCCCCAGCCCCGTCCCTGCCCGGCTCCGGGGTCCCCGGGGGGCGCCCCGCCCCGCACCCACCTTGGCGTAGGCCTTGTACACTGTGGCGTACGTGCCGCTGCCCAAGCGCTCGGTGAGGATGAAGCCGTCCAGCCGCGGGGGGCCCCAGCCGGGCCCCGCCATCCCCGCCGCCCCGCGCCCGCCGCTTCCTGCTTCCCTGCTCCGCGTTCCGGCGCGCAGCCCAGCGGTCAGGGCGCGCGGCCACGGAGCGGACTCCACGCTGCCCCCAGCGCCGCCCGCCGGGACTGCAGCGCGGTGGGCGGGGCGCCACCCCGCCCCGCCCCCACGGCCCCGCCTCCCCCGGGTGCTCCAGGGGCCGCTTTGGGGCGCCTCGCCACTGGAGATCACGTGGTGGGAGCACTAAGGTCCCCGCCCCCGAGCCGAGGCCAGCAGATGAGGTCGCTGGGGGTAGGGGGGAATCCCATCCAGGCTTTATGGCTCACGGGAAGGGCAAGTGGGGAGGAGCCGGGCTGCGCAGGCGTGCCGGGTGCTGGGGTAAGAGTCAAAGAGGCTCCCAAGGGTGCCCCTCCGGCCCAGAACCAGCAGCTCTAAAGTAGAGATACTGGGACAAGAAGGTGCTTTTGGCCAAGTAGTCTCAGGAAGGCGCTTGGCCCCTCCCAGACCAGCCAGAGCGGGGTGGCCAGATGCAGAATCTTTTTTTTTTTTTTTAAAGATTTTATTTATTTGACAGAGAAAGACACAGCGAGAGAGGGAACACAAACGGGGAGTAGGAGAGGGAGAAGCAGACTCCCTGCCGAGCAGGGAGCCCGATGCCGGACTCGATCCAGGGACTCCAGGATCATGACCTGAGCCGAAGGCAGTCGCTTACCCAACTGAGCCACCCAGACGCCCCAGATGGAGAATCTTGACTGTCTCCTCACTTACCACTGGAGCAGCCAGCTCAGTGCAGGCTCTGTGGGCCACTCCCATCCTCCCAAGTCCACCAGACATTACGACCAGTGTTGTCTGAAAATGTCTTGTTTTTATTTAAAGCACAAAAATTGAGACATAACATATACATTTGTACAGGAAGAAAAAAATACCAGAAAGTTTACAAAACCTTGGTCACTGCCATGATCATTCAGTGGCTCTGGGGCTGAGTGGGCTGGGAGTCTGCATGCTGCCTCAGGGTGGGCCCCAGGTCCCAGAGGCAGGCAGTTGGCCAGCTTTTTGAGAAGTCCCTTCAGTCCACACACCCACCCCTGTATACAGCCTTTAGAGGACAGGGTGGTTTTATCGGTGTCATCCCAGGTGCCCATCACACTGACACACCTGAGGAATCCCCAGGGCCAGTGACAGGTGACCTAGGTTCTACTGGGGATATGGGAGAACCCTCTGAAAAGTGGCTGATCAGTCCAGCATGAGGAATGCAGTTCTGGACTGATTCTTCGGTGCCCCCCCGGAAGAGTCATACACATGAGATATTGCTGGAGGGGAGAAGGCAGAGCGGGGTAGAATCTGAGGCCACGGCAATGGGCCACTGTCCCTCAGGAGGAAATCAAAACAGGGCCAAACCACACCAGGACAGTCAGACTCCACCTTCCTAGACAACTGTCAAAGGCTGGACAGGACTATTTGGGGTCAACGTCCTCCATCCCTCCCCATCCCCAAATCCCAGCCAACCCCACTGCACATTCAGTAAGTCTACAGAGGGGAGAGGGCTCAGAGAGGACCCCAGAGGGCACACGTGCCTCCCACACCAGGAAGGTGCAGGGGGTACTAAAGGGCTATAAATCTGTGAGAAACATAAGGCAGGGAAGAGCCTGGGAGCAACCATGCCAGAGGCTCTGGAAGCCCAGAGACCACCTCAGAGTGATCTGGGGAACAGAGCTTTCCATCCACCTGGACTGCAGCTCATGTAAAGGGGAGCCCTTGGGAGACCACCCAGTCTGGGCAGGAAGGAAAGGCAGGACTGTGGAAGCCACAGGCTGGGTGTGTGGAGCCAGATTCAGGCCAGGCCTACTGGGGGAGGAGTGGAGTCCCAGGATCCTGGCAGAAATAAAACTCCAGCTGGCATGGGTCCAGGTCAGCTGGTGACTGCAAGTGTGTACGTGTATGTGATGCGCGTGTGTGTATGTGTGTGTGTACACGTGTAAGGGGAAGTGAACTACAGTCCCACTGCTTCGAACCTACCAAACCACCACCAGAGAAGGAAAGACAGCTTTTTTTTTTCTTTTTTCTCTTGTGTAAAAAAAAAAAAAATAGTCCCTGTCCCTCCCTCCCCTCCCCTCGGGCAGAATGGAGAGCTGGTGGCTGAGGAAGGAGGAAGGACCAAGCAAGACCCTCCCCAGGTCTGTGCTGGGCATAACCACTGTTTAAGGCACCCACAGAAAGTGCAGCTGGAAGGCAGGCAAGAGAAAAGGCTGGGGCAGACAAAGGAGAGTCAGGAGGACTAGTTCCCCTGGAAGGCTCCTCGGGCAGCAGATGAGGCAGTGCTGCGGAAGGTCCTACTGCTGAAGATTCCCTGGGAAAACTCCTCCTGGGCCTGCTGGAAGCTGGCCCCCGTCCGGCGGTACAGGGAGTGCACCTGGGGAAAGAGGCTGCGGTGAGAAGTGTGCCCTGGGGGCCTGCGTGACCTCCCCCGCGGAACCCTGGTGACAGTCACTGGACCTCTGGGGACCCGGGGGCCCAAGTGCCTCCAGTGATGGGCATCCCCAAGGCGAAGGCAGGAAAGAGGTGCCTTGCTTCCTCAGTTTGCTGTTGGCCCAGCACCCACAACTTACCCGCTTCAGAAGGAAGAGTGAGAGCCCGGCGCACAGGGTGAAGAAGCCAGCCACCACCATCATGATGATCGACACAGCCAAGTGGCGCTGCTTCAGTGTAGACAGGGCTGCGATCCAACCACTGCAAAGGGGGGAGGAGGAAGCCAGAGGGGACACAGTGAGAGTGGGCCCTAAAGGTCCCCGAGAGGAGCTCTTCTCTAAGTGGCCGCTGTAGGCTGACCGGCCACCACCCAGCCACCTCACTGCAGCACAGAGCTGTGGGCCAGAAGCCCTTGGCCTCTGAGACGCCAGGCCTCTGTGAAGGCTGACAGGCCCCACACTGCCCTCAGACAGAAGTAGTCCAGGGGAGGGCCTTTTCCTGCTGCTCTAGGGGACATGGACAGCCTGGTTGCTCACTCCTGAAGCCCGCCCTCTGGGAAACAGGACCACTGGCCAACCCACTGCATTCATCCCATCACCTCAGCTCCTCCTGCCGGGACTCAGGGCAACCCCTCTGCCTCCAGTCAGTCATGTTGCCTTCCTGAGCCCCAGTGTCCTTATCTATAAAAGGGGATATTCTCACATTTCCTGACTTAAAAACTTACTACAAAAAAACATGCAGTACTGGCACAAGGACAGACATACAGATCAATGTAAAAGAACTGAGAGTCCAGAGATAAACCGATACGTCGATCATCAACTGATTTTTGACAAGGGTGCCAAGACTTGGTGCTGGGTAGCCACATGCAAAACAATGAAGCTGGACCCTGACTTCAACCACACACAAAAATTAACTCAAGATGGATCAGAGACCTAATAAGAGCTAAAAACAGAATACTTAGAAGAAAAGTTTACTCTCCAGGACTCTGGGTTTGGCACTGGTCTTAGATATGACACTGAAAACAAGGAACAAAAGAAAAAAATTGGACTTCATCAAAATTGAAAGCTTTTGTGCCTCAAAGGACACTATCACAAGAATGAAAAAATAATACACAGAAGGCAGAAAATGTGCTAATCTGATGTTAGTATCCAGAATATATAAAGACCTCAACAACAAAAAAGCAACCCAATTACTAGAGAAAGACCTGAACAGACATTTCCTCAATGAAGAAACACAAACGGCCTAAAAGCACGTAAGAGATGGCCAACATCATTAGTTATTCAGGAAAGGCCAATCAAAACCACAGCAAGAGGGGCGCCTGGATGGCTCAGCTGCTGAAGCACCCGGGTCTTGGTCTCGGGGTCGGGCCTCATGTTGGGCTCCATACTGGGTGTGTATACACCTCTAGGCTGGTAACAAAACAAGCGAGGACCCTCGTACACTGCCGCCAAGGGAAACGGACTTACCATGTGACCCAGCAATCCCACTCCAGGTACATACCCGAAAGAACCAAAACCAGGTATCCAAAGACTTGTACGAAAATGTTCATAGCAGCACTGTTTACAACAGCAAAAAGGTGGAAACCACCCCAGGGTCTGTCTACTGATGTGTGGACAAGCAGATGGACAAGTACTCCATAAGAAGGACTGATCCGTGTTACAGCACGGGCCTTAAAAACATCACGCTGAGTGAGGCCAGTGCAAAAAGCCACACACCGTACAGTCCCATTTATAGGGAATGTCCGGAGTAGGCAGATCCAGAGAGAGACTGAGAAAGAGCAGCTTCACGGCCGCCAGGGGCTCCGGGAAGGAGGGAGTCGGATGCCTGCTGATGAGGACCGAGTCTCCTCTCAGGGATGACACAAATGTCCTAGAACTAGACAGTGGACAGGGCCTCATATCACTGTGGCTCTACTAAACGCCACTGAATTTTTTACTTTAAGATGGTTTAAGTGGTCAATAAAATAAATTTTATGTTCTGTGTATTTTATACTTGATAACAAGAAAGGGGGGGTTCTATCCATCCAGCCGTGGGGCTTGGGAGGTGAGGTGGGGAAGGCACTGGGAAGCTGGAGGCTGCTGAGCTCGTGAGGGGGCAGGGCTGGGGGGGGGGGGCAGGCCCAGACCAGAATTCGAGCCTTCTGACTCCTGGGCTGGGAAGCAAAGAGCACTTAGGCCATAGCCTGTCTTCCGGGATCTCACTGAGGGTAGTGAGTGATGACATTTTCAAAGAGAAAGGAGCCAGCCCAGAAACAGCAGGGCGAGACGGATGAGGGGTGGCAGGAGGGCAGTGGGCACGCTCGGAGCGCAAGGTGAGTCAGCCCCCTCCCTCCGCCCTGCATTTGCCAGTTCCACTGGGGGGAAGGGACCAAAGTAGTGCAGCCCTTCCAGGCTCGGGCTCTCAGCCAAGCGGCAGTCTGACCTTTCTGTAATGCTCCCTGTGCACTGGGGCAGAAAGGAAAACATCAGCCGGCAGCTTTTCTTTTTGAGGCTAATTTTGAGCTGAGGACTCCAGCACCCAGGAAACTCAAGCCAGCTCTATGCTCAAAGCAAGAAGGAGAGGCTAGGGCTTCATCCTGACATTACAGGGCCTCTGGACAAAGTCACAGCACAGAGTCTGCAAAAGGCCAGG